CTCTCTCTCTCTCTCTCTCTCTCTCTCTCTCTCTCTCTCTCTCTCTCTCTCTCTCTTGGTGGGATGCCACCCATAGAGACCTAGGCTGAGACGCTGCCTGGGTGCCCTCTGAGAGAAGCACGCCCAGCATCTAGTTTGCTCAAAGGGTGGTGCCACATTGTGTACATGCTCTCAGAGTCTCAGCCCTGGTTTTGTGCGAGGGTATTGCCATAGGTGCTACCCAAATTTGGAGGACTTAAGCAAGGCCAAGGATCCGTGCGCCAACGGTCTCGTAATCAGGTATGGGTTGTAATAAGTCCTACAAGGTGCCCCCACGAAAAATTCAGAGAAGTCTTCCCAGGTTTATTTTTCCTTCAGTTTTTTTTTTAATAGTTTATTGTTGTTGACTCCTAAATTTTATTTTCTTTAAGGCAGTAACAGCTAAGATCCATAGGTTGTACTTAGTTTTTTTATCTACTTCTGTTGTGTAATTTTGGCATTGTAAGTAGAATCACTTGGTACTTACCCACAAAAAAGTAGAATCACTTGGTTGTGAATAAAAGAAAAAGAAAAAAATTTTGAATTTTTTAATTTACATCATGAATCCTACATAGCCAGTACTTCAACGATGATAAATTCTGATCATTAAAAGAAAAAAAAAAAAAAGCAAGGATTTCCTCTCACCAATAAGTGGTAACCTTTATTAACAATGAAATGGTAGTTCAACTAGCATCACAAAACAAACAAAATTTGGAAGGTAATACAAATAGGAAGAAATCAATCTGGGAAGAACCTGATTAAAGTATGGCCATGTTTCCATATTTTGAGCCCTTAGTGTATCGGCATTGATAGCTTGGTAGATTTTCCCATTTGGTCTCAAGAACTTTGGCCTCTGTTGCGATAATAGCACACCTGGATAATCAGTTGTAAAATCCAATTGTGTAAAGCATAAATATGATTTTGGCCAACAAATCAAAACAAGCAGATCACATGCAAGAAAAAAGTTCAGAAAAAATATCATACATAATTGATTTAACATGAGCATCGAGAAGCAAGGAATGTCTAAACTATAACTTAACAAGATCTATGTACAAATCAAACATGAGTTTATGCTGAATAGTTCAATAATTTAATGAATATCCAGTTATTGTATAAGGCAACAGGGGCAAATCAAATATGAGTTACAGATGAAACTTTGCTTACTATAACAACCAAGTGCAATGGCAGCATTAGGTACATTTTTTTGTAGTGATCTAGTGTTTGAGACAAGAAATGGTCTTTTGACTAAAAGCGAATCCCACCTGCTTTTGCAAAATTGAGCTAGATGTTGTATAAAGAAGCTCCCATTTTCCATTCAGCAAATCAGACTTGAGAGGCTCTTGTATGGCATTCACTGCTTCCAATTCTCTGGCAATCTAGTCCATATTACAAACCAGAAAATCAAGAATAAAACCACGTCCACCTATTATCATTAAATCATGCGAATAAGCTTAAAAGAACTTCAGCATAGGACTTCCAGATGTAATTTATCTAATTTCGTCTTGAACAGAACATTCAGAAGAATACTAACAGAAAAGGGAACTGCAAAGATTTTCAAACCAATGAAAAGAGAAAAAGAACAAAAAAGAAAATACTAAATGTGAGATAACTTGAGTCGGAATAAACTGGTTATCCGACAAGTAGAGAATTTGTAATATGACATTTGAATATCAGTATCTAGGCACATCATGACAATCAGGCTCAAGAGTCCCATACACACTACTTTCATCCTTAATTGTTAATCCCAAAGTTACCAAATAAATGAAAAACAATTACTAGAAAATACTTAATTTGAGCTTTCTTCATCTACGCTTGCTTGTATTGTCCACTTACTTAAATCAGAACAAGAGTTCTATGATTTCACATACACCTTTTGGTAAATCTTGTTTCTCAGAAAGAGTTTTACGTCACAAAAAAAATCTGCACCCACCTATGACAAAACTGCTATCCCTTTCACTTCATCGGTAACGACATTACCCCATGCAGAGCTGTAGTTTACAACTTGTCTTCAATGTGAAAGTGAAACTGCAATGATCTTCAGAGGGTATTCCTCTTGTCTCCAAACATTACAGAGAATTTTTTACCAGTGTCCACGTCACCACAGCATTTACAAAGTTAAATAGGAACAATTATTTCTCTGCTATTGGATTTAGTCCATCTCCATTATATCTCTGGACCTTCAACAACAGATGGAACTAACTTTTATGTGCTTTGCTTCCAATGAGTCTTAAGGCCACAATACACGTGAAAGCAATTGTCTCAGCTTGAAGTCTTAAAGAAATGGAAACATGCATATGAATCATTGCGATGGCAATACTTTGTGGATATACACTAGGCATCAGCAAGGGAAAAAGGACACTAGCCAAGCAGCCCATGGGAAAGTGCTCACTCAACAATACATACATGCTCTTGTGGCATGTTACATAATGCCAAGTGAACATCGAGAATAGAATTGTAAGTTTGTTAGCATAGAACGAGTGGTAACCAAAATTGCCGGGACTTTCTTGGAAGTGTGGTGTGTTCTCATTGCAAATTGAAGGAGTTCAAAGCAATTCTCATCGACCAACCAATAAAAAGAGCATACACATACTATACGTTGCATAAAAATTTCACAGACTAAAAAGCAGGGGAGGTCAAGGTTTTGAAGCCTTGAAGTTGTCTCAAAAAGTCCAGGCCAGCTAACCTAGCCTTTTTCATATTTACCCAAAATAGAGTTTTGCACATGCCCAAGCAAAAACACTTGTCTTTGTCATTTACAGGAAGAATGTTTTGATTTTTACCTCCAAATAAATGATGCATATGCAATTGGTCTATAAAGCATTTGACCAAGAACTACCAAAAAATTAAGCAAACATGGTTTGGTATGTTTCAATACACAGGATGCCTTTGTGACTAAATTTTGTCTACTTTGCGACTTAATTAAAAAAACGGATTACAATTCACTACTTTATTCAATTAAAAAAAAAAAAACATAAGAAATCTTTGACCATAATATACACCCAAAGAAAGAAAACATGCAAAAAATACGGATCCCATTAGAAATTCCCCAAGAAAGAAGAAACTTAGGTTTCAATTTTCCCTATTTCTTCTTTCACTGGAAGTTTCCATCTTCTCTACAAATAAACACTCGTCAGCAAATACAGTGACCAACAAAGACGAATTTGCAGAACGAAGTTCAAGTGGCACACCAAAAAATATAGGGAAAAGAAAGAATTCCAAAGGAAACAATAATTCCAATAATTAAAGGAAAACCAACCTTGTCTATGCGATCCTGATCTTCTTGTGTTGCTTCTGCGCCTCTATCAAGTGGAGCAATGGCCTCTAAGAGCTCTTCTTTGAGGGCTTTGCTGTCTTTCTTCTTCTTCAGAAAAGGGAAAAACGAGGCCTTGCTCCTCCATTTCTGTAAATATGGTGGCTTTTTAAATCCGGACTCATGTCCAAGAAAAATGGGGACTGGCTTTCTGAGAGAAGGAAAGGTGGCAATCCATGAATTGCCAAGAAATTGGGCAGGTATGGTGAGCCTGGTGCGGTGGCACGGATAGGATTTAATGGAGGAACTAGGGTTTGTTGTTGGTGTCAGGGCAGCGGCACAAGAAGATGAAGAAGCCATAGGAGTAACTGTGTTCCTGAGATGGAAGACGGAGAAGATGATTTCGCTTTTTTTTCGCTCGTTTAGGATATGGTTTTAGTGGGTTTTACCCCCTCTCACTCTCCATATGTCTGTTTAGCACTCAAATCTTATTTAATATGGAGATCATGAATATAAAAAACAAATAAATTTTAAGAATATGAAAATAATAATTTTATAAGAAAAACAGTTGACCGTTAGTTTCAAATGTTTCCGGATGGATCACTTATTTACATCCATCTTTAAGATTGGATGCTTTATATCTTGGGACATTACGTATCTTTAAGATTGGATGCTTTATATCTTGGGACATTACGTAGAAATGCTGTCCAGCCCGAATACATCCATCTTTAAGATTGGATGCTTTATATCTTGGGACATTACTGCCCAGCCCGCATGAAAAAAAATCTTAATTTCTCACGGTTTTCAAGAGAAATATTATTTGTTGAGTTGCGACTCATGAGTCATGTGAGAGATTCCAATACTCGGAACATTTTATCTTTCCCGTTATCCTAATTTCACATAAGCTAAAACATTCTAGGCTGCCCTAAGTGTATATTTGCTTTTCGAAAGTTTTACTTGCGTCCCTGCCGTCAGAATTGAATAATAGATGGCCAGCTTAAGTCACAATATAGCAAATTGGCTCTTGTCCGTTCTGGTTTTTATTTTATAAATCATTTTGGATTCGAAATTTTGGCTCATAGATATATGAGGGGTGCATACATGCATTTATGAGAGGTGTTTCTCTTGCTTCTTGCTTCTTTTTCTATTTCTGATAATGTAATTTTTTTATAGTCTTTCAATAAAACGTTTGGACTTTGGTCAAAAAAAAAAAAAGGGATACATATGATAAAAATAATAAAAAATATATTTTATTATAGAAAATTACCAGAATACTCTTCAAACTTTTAGACGTATTTTGATCATTTATTTTCACAAAAAAAATATCGTAATTTTGTTTTAAAAAAATTTGCTACGTGCACCCCCAATAAAAATGGGATACAGGAAATTTTGCTTAAAAATATTTTGTAAAAAAATAAAAGGCAAATAGTATTTCACGTGATATTGTGACATGAGCAATCCTAACCGTCTGTTCAAATTAACGTTTGAGAAGTGGGATAACAAAGAAAGCTTTCACTTTACTTCCTCTGATAAAATCCAATTGACAAGTATGTTTAAGACCTCGAATTTTGGGGCCGTCACCCAAGATTGAATGAGACTATTCAGTTTTGAGACACTGATAACATCCAATTGACAAGTATGTTTTAAGACCTCGAATTTTGGGGCAATCACCCAAGCTAGACTCTGATAAAATCCAATTGACAAGTATGTTTAAGACCTCGAATTTTGGGGCCGTCACCCAAGATTGAATGAGACTATTCAGTTTTGAGAGAGTAAGGGCCTGTTTGATAACTGGAAGCAAGTTTATGAACGGTAAATTGGAAGTTCTTGAAGAACTATAAATTATAAGTTCCTTAAGAAGTTCCTGGTTTGATAACTTCCCTGGAAAGTTCAGAAGTTCTCGGTTTTTGTGCTTGATAACCTCTTGAAAAGTTAACCTCCTGAAAAGTTAAGAAGTTCATGTGTTTGATAACTCTTGGGAAGTTGTTAAGAAGTTCCTGCGTTTGATAACTCCTGGGAAGTTAAGAAGGACTGGGTTTATATATTTGATAACCTCCTAGGAAGTTTTAGTTTGTGTTTGATAACTTCTTGAGAAGTTAAAGAAAAACTTGGTATCTGGATATAAATGTTAAAATTGAGACCTAAATATTATTTATTTTTTATTAATTTGTAGAATATTATTTTTTGAAATACAATATCAATTGAAAGTAAAATGCATTGGAGAGAGAGAGAGTTTTATTGATGAGTGAGAGAAACGTCCTAGAAAGAGATACATTTGTACATCAATTAACGCAAATGTTGCATGATAAACTTCATTGCACCTCAAATTATAAAATATCAAGCACAACCTCAATTTAATAATTTAACAACCTCAATTTAATAATTTAATATTGTGTACCAAATTATTTAGTTTTATGGCTGAAGCTTAGTTACTACTTTGTGGAATATAAATATTGGATGAATATAAGTTAAACTCACAGTCCAAAATTTATGTGTCCTATGAACGATGGACACAGCGTGATGAGTGCTAGCTAATGTTGAGGCGCGGTGGGACTGTCATGATCATTTTAGATTTTGCATGCCTACACCATGGAATCAGTTGTTCTCTAATGCGATTGATGGAGCCTTAAAATCCTTTGATCTGTTACATTTCAATAACAAACCCTTCAGTCTTGGCACAGGTGCTAGACGGTATCGTTAACGTGATTATGCTTCATGTTCATGTAATTGAAATGAAATGCTTGTGGCTGGTCTCTTTCCATATCAATCGCAAAACGCATAAATAATGGCATTCTGAATGTTGGCTTGATAGTGTCAGGTCATGGCAACCAACCGCCCAAGGATCCTTAACTCTACCACACTGTCTACAAAGCGCTCATTATCCAACGGTCTTCGCAATATGTATTTGATGGCATTACTGTCCCTCAACAGTGTTAAGACTAGTAATGAAATCAATGGATGGTCGACAACAGTTTCAAATGTGGAATTATTAATCCATGGTCGATTATACTACAATGACTAAAACCAAAAGCAGGCGATCAGGCGGTTTATGAGTCAGAAAATGACATAGAACAAACTTATTTTCTCTTTGGATAATGTTTATAACTTTCTATTACTACAAAATTGATTCACAATTAATTGAGAACTTCACAACATTGTCCTCCCCTAAAGCTATAGCATTTAGAATATTGTGATTGTGAAAAAAAATCTTTGTATTCCCTCATTGCCTCGGGAGTCCATTGTCGATAGCATTTATTCAAGCAACCGAGGACCAAGTTGTTAGCATTTCTCGAATATTCTTCATCTATTTTTTGCTTCCAACTCGAACTAGAATCACTCTACACTCTGCCTCATTCAACAATAACCTGTAATAGTTTAAACATACATAATTGAAAAAGCAAGAAGTAAGCAATCAGCCCATTCAAACACACATGCACAATGCAAGCTGTAACAAATCAGCCCATTCAACAATAACCTGTAATAACTTGAGCACTACTTACATTCACCACTGCTGCATCCAATATCTCAACCCAAAATATATACGCCATTCACAAGTCATGCACACAACATTTGTGTGTTCTCTCTCTCTCTCACTAAGATTATAATGGCACACAACATTTGTATGTTATCTGTTAAGATATTTGTGATGCATGTCAAGCACCATTCACAATTCATGCATCCATATATAACTATGTATAAAACCAGCTCATTCAATAATAACCTGTAATAGTTTAAACATACATAATTGAAAATGCAAGCAACAAGAAATCAGCCCATTCAAACACACATGCACAATGCAAGCAGTAAGAAATCAACCCATTCAACAATAACTCACCGCAGATGCATCCATATCCCAACCTAAGAAACATATGTTCGTCACAATTCAAAAATATATATCATTTACAAGTCATGCACACAACATTTGTGTGTTCTCTCTCTCTCTCTCTCTCTCTCTCTCTCTCTCTCTCTCATATTATAATGGCACACAAGTAAATTTCGTTGAAGTATATAGGCAAAAGTCTTGCTTTACTTTGTCACAAAAGTAAAGAGAACACATGCATGTAACCATGTACATATATAACCATGTACAAAACCAGCCCATTCAACAATAACATGTAAAATGGGAAAACCTGATCTTATTAAGTTAAAGGCATCACATTTCGCACAAACACATAGACATAACTTCTTTTCCAGAATGATAGGTGCATGAGAATGAGTGTGAATGCATGTTTGTGTAGAAATTGAGCATTCAGAAAGCCTGAAAAAAGGGAGATATACCATGTTAACCTTTAGGTTCTTTGATTATTATTTAACATCCAAAAATTACAAAACCATAGCCCTGTATTTGATATATTGGACACACTGGAGGTTTTCAATTTTCAGTCGGAAGGAAACAATGGAAACATCTGAATGATATTAATAGAACTTTATAACCTGAACATCAATTCAATCAAAATTTTTTCTTCTGTAATGAATCGTGGGTTATAGAATGTAGATTGTGACTACTTTAAAGGATTAGGCAACATGAAAGCAAACTACAATGATGCTGCCATTCTAAAACATTGCTCTAAAGTCTTTTTCATAATGATCTATTACATCGTGGACACCCCCACCAGCAAATAGGTCGTTATATCTACACATGAATGTGTTACTATCAACAACATCTGCTGGCCACTTTAGAACAATTTGTTGAAATCCAAAAACATTTTTTGACAACTCATGCTCATGAACTTGCATGTAATATGAGGATATGTATTGATATCTCAAGTTATTTTTAACATAAGAAGTACATAGATTTTTTAGTAAAGACCAACAGTTAACCATAAATAAAAAATACAAACATAAAAAAAGAGAAAACCGGGAGACTCAGGTGATGCCGATTCCGGGGTTTTTGGGTCCAGAATTGCCAGCCTTACGGTCCCAATCCAACTCAGTCAATTCCAAGTGAGACCAGTGATTCTTGCATCATTGTCAAAAACCATAACATCCCTCCCTCACATTCACAGTTCCCCAATTAAATCCAACATGGAACTAACAGCTTAGTGCAGTCTAAAACTCCTAATGCACTCAATTAAAGAACAAATCAAGAAGTACCAAGCATATTCCATTGTATAAGGAACAATATATGACCTTAAGTGTAAAAAAGTTTAAATGCTGCCACCAAAACTGGGGAGCTCATTTACTATGTCTTCAATTGAGATTTGAAGGAAGCTTATCCCTTTTTTCTCCTAGCTAAGGAGAGTTTGTCAAAGAAGTTGGGACTGTAGATGGTGTTTGGTAAGCCAACTTATAATTTTACTCTAGAAAGACATAACAACATGAAAGAATAAAGCACTTTGAATTATATAGTGATGCATAACTCATAAAGAAAATAGGCTACCTGAAAGAAAACAGAACTTTGGATTTATGGTAAGGAACGATAGGTTTTTTAATTCAATTGCAATATTCAACAAATCCGGTTCTGTTTCAATTCAATCAAGATATT